ATTTCATGGTAAATTACTCATAAATCATAAATTTTAAAAAATGTGATGATATTGTTACCAGTTGATCATACGCTGCTGCCCTGTTCTGGTAAAATGTAGCAAGATCTTCGGTATTCTCATTTGGACATGTTTGAATTGCATTATTGTATTGGACAATTGCCTCATCATATTTTCCTATCTTAAAGTAATGATTTCCTTCTACCTTAAATCTCCGAGCTCTTTCTAATGGTGTCTGCAATACAATACGTTCAGCTAGTATAAGAGTGTGTAGCACAAACAATAGAACAAGATGTATAATTATGACAAAAGTATTTCTAACCTCAGGTGCCTCGTTGGTACTTTTCGGTGGATAGTCGGCGTCAATCGAGATTTGTTTGTCGGTGGCTGGCGTGCCATTTTTCTGCGAGCTGCCTCTCGGTTTACGTCGGTTCGATTTGGACGAGGGCTTGTTACTGTTCCTATAATACATATAGCCGAGACCCAGAGCAACCGGGGCACCAACGGCTAGGGCAAGTTGCCATCTTGGTAACAGACCGCCGGTCACGCTGCCCGCGCTACTTGCACCCGTCATTTTTCTATAAGTTCTTTTATGTTCGTCGGCGTGACAAGTTACTTTTCTCTCACGTTTTTCCTCGGAATCAATCCGACACGAAAACAACCAGTAGGAACCAACATGAAGTCGAACGATCATGCGATGAGAAGAAAGATCACATCACGGTTACACTCGTCGATGAACAGGGTGAACGTTTCTGATATCCTCCGATCAAGTGAACAAGTTTAGTACGAATTTCCACCGTCGTGTGAGTTAGCGCTTATCACGTTTATCGGCGTCGGCGGTCACGTGTCACGTATACAATTCGTGGTGCCTACCATCTCGGCTACGATCATATTCGTGCTCATCTCCTGCATATGTTTATATATATGAATATAAGTAAGTGCGACGTTGGAAACAAAATTATAACAGAGGCGAAACTCTTGTCAAAATCTTTGATCTTGAAGTTTTTGACGCTCGTATGAAGTATTTTTAGCAGATTGTTATTTTTATTTGAATGAATGTTCTTACAGGTTTGAGACGAATTATATACTCATTTTGTATATATATTAAATCGAAATTGTTGTGATTCTAAAGGTACGTTCGTAGCGTACAAATTTTGTAAAGGCACATGCGCATTTGAATTTAAAAATTTAAAACTCTATACCCGCGGAACTTACATACAACGCATGCGCATTGGGCATTGTGCGCATTACTCTGTGACTTAATCAGGTTTCAACGTTATTCAAATAATATATTTTGAAAATAAAAATTTAAATAAATGTAAATGATATATTATGTTATTCGCAAGATGTTATTTAGAAATAATCGTGCATTAGTTTATTTGCACGCTGTCAAATGAAATAATATCTTCTATATTCTCTTATTTTGATAAGTAATAATGATTCATACAGTAAAATGAATTCCTGTTCAAGTTTTTAAATACTTTGGTTCTATATTACTATACCGTTCAATTTATTTGATTAAATACTTCTCGCGAGTTGTAATAGGTTGTTTATAAATAGTTGTATTTTTCTAAGCAGATAATTTTATCCACGGTATTTTTAGAATACAGAGTTTCCGCGGCCCTGAGGATTTCGGTATCACTCAACCGATTAGCATTCAATAATTTCACTTAATGTTATTTATTTAGTACGAATGCGTTTATCGATTCCATTGACACGGAAGTGTTAATGAAATATATGGTCTAGCCGTCTGATATTCGCGCGTTCTTTTCGCGCATGCACGAAACTTTCTCTAAAAAGATGGCAACGGTCTGTCAACAGGAACAGAGTTTTGTCTCAGGCCATATCTATAGATCAACGAACTTCGAAGTGAATGCGTGCTACGAGAAATGTCATGAGAACGACGATATTCTTCGAAGAATGCTAAGTAATTTGGAAAATTCGTTTTGCCACAGAAAATCGTAACTTACATGTAACATTCGTTATTTGATACACATCTCGATAAGAGTGTGACGTTCACCAAAATGGCACTACAAGAAGATGAAAACACCTGGTGAGCTAATTCGAAAAGTTTTGTTGTATTTTTAAAATGCTACTACTCTAGTTTCCCATTCTACTTGCAGTTTAAACAATTATTGCATTATTTTAACAAATTGACATGGTTCTTATAGCACAGATTTGACGTTATACAATACAGTAGTTTCACTGTCAACTTTCCGTGAATATTTGAAAGCATTAAAGAACTAAAAATAATCAAATCTACATATTACTATGCGTAATTTCTACGTTTTATCTATTTTACGAAGTATCGTTTTGGTTGATTAAAAATAGCATGGAATTAATGTAAAATCTAATTGTTACTCTATTCAGTTTGTTTTATGTATATATAATTATTCAGTTAATTCTCGTACATGGATTTTATATAGAAGTTACAATATAATTATCAGATCTATACATTAGATTCAATAAATTTGTCACATATATTAAATTATAATACTTCAGGGTTTTAGAGCTGGAAGCAGCATTGTTAGATACGGTGGCACCATCAGCATCCGATATATATGCAATTTGCAAGGGGCAAGCAGTTCCTACAAATCTAAGGCCAGACGTATGGCAAGCTTGTTTGGATGTGACTGATCGAGGCAATCAATTAAGTCATTTCAATGAAGTTTTTGATTTACCAGAACAAAATTTGATTCGTGATGATTGTCAGCAACTGGTTGGTAAGTTAGGATTTTATGATTCAGCCGAACAGAACTTATAAAGATGTAGATATGGTTCTTATCGTATGTTGAATTGGATCAGCTTTATCTTATGGACACACATCTTTCCAAATCAAATGTTTTAGACTATTCTGAGATATTATACATATTGTGTTGAGTAATGTTGATACAATGTAGATAAAGATGTAAACCTGCTTTGTCATTAAAATACCCAACAGATAGGTTCTTTAATTGTAATGTATTTTTTTTTTTTATTGCAGCAAAGTTAGGAAATGATGATGAGGACAAAGTATCAGTTGTTTCTGATTTAGAGTCCATTGTAACATTTTATTGCAAAAGCAAAGGGAAACAGTATAAGAGAGGTAATGGATGGCTGGAACTGTTGGGTCCTTTAATAGCTTTAAAACTTCCTCGGAGCTCAACGTATAATTTATTTGTGACAATAATAGATATTTATATTCCTAGGTACAGTATCTGATAAAACAATTAGCCTTAAAATAATAATGAATGCAACTACTCTATTTATGTATTTTCAGAGGTGAAATCTATAGTTCTGTATTAAGATTGCTTTTGCTTTATCATGAACCAGAATTATGTTCTTTCTTAGACACAAAAAGAGTGTCTCCAGATCAATACACAAAAGGATGGGTAACTACTTTATTTGCTGGTGTGTGTTCATTACCAGCTGTTTGTACAATGTGGGATCTATATTTCATGCAAGCTGATCCATTCTTTATGTTATTTCTTTCACTTATTATGGTGATAAATGCTAGGTAAGGTTTGCAAAACTTGTAAATGCAGATGTTACTTAACATTCAAATACTGTCATAATATTTAGTTTACTGTTCTGTGTAGGGAGCAAATTTTAAGTATGAAAGACAACGAAAAGCAAAGTATTATAGATGCAATAGCTGCTATGCCTTGTGCTCTAGAAGCAGAAGATGTGACAGACTTTTGCTCGCTGGCGCAATACTACGCGATGAAAACACCAGCCTCGTTCAAGCAGGATTTGTATCCTGTTTTGTTTGGTGAGGGTTTCGATGGGAAATATATATCACATGCGTTGTGCTTGCCTGTGTCCGCTCAAGAATTAGTCGAGAACTCTATTGAAAGTCCGTCCGTACCTAACACATCTGTTGAGTCAGTCAGATTTTTCCTAGTGGATTGCAGACCTGCCGAGCAATACAATGCAGGACATCTGCCGACAGCATTTCACTTAGATTGTAATTTGGTACGATCTCTTTACTATTTCTTTGTGTATTAAGATTTTATTAAAATCCAAGGATTGCATTTCAGATGTTACAAGAGCCAGCTGCATTCGCCACAGCGGTGCAAGGATTGTTGCAGGCACAACGGCAAGCACTAGCTGTTGGATCGCAAGCTGGTGGCGAACATCTTTGCTTTTTGGGAAGTGGCAGGCAAGAAGAGGATCGCTATACGCACATGGTAGTCGCATCCTTCTTGCAGAAACATACACAATACGTCAGCATGGTCACATCAGGATATCAAGGTAAGGAAAGAGTAATTACACTATTCAAGAATGCTGGAGGAAATTTAATTCTGCTATGTTATATTATTCCGTTTCAGCCATACATGAGTACTTTGGCGATGAAGTCGTTTCTAGTCTCGTTGACCATAATTCGCAGTATTGTTTAGTATGTAGCGCTAACATGTCCGATACGAATTCTAACGAAACGAGTCCTGCCAAGGTGAAGAATAACAATTCCTACTTTTTCGGGAAGATAAAGAAAGTGAAGGGAAAGTTATTCGATTATATCGTGAATCCATCAGCAAGTGTTCATAACAATGTGGAAAGTAGGAATGGTAAAGATCCAGAGTATACTAAACGGCAAAAAAAGACCGCCCCTGTATTTAGCATAGATGACGACCAGGAATTGGGTGAGTGTCGTTTTTTCTACTAAGATTGTCCTAATCTGCAAGAATAACAAAATTATGGTATTGCAGATATGGTAATGACTAATCACGAAAGCGAAGAACCCGTTGAAGTAGTCTCCATTCAACAATGGATGAAGGATCCAAAATTGCTACATTCCTTTAAATGCCAAGAAGTGAAAGTGAATAGAGATCTCTGTGATAGGTGAATGTTTTAACAAACTAAGAAACGTATTGAACCGCGGCTAGGCGTAATGTGTAACAATTTTTCTGTTAACGTTTCACGCATGTTTTCTTTTCAGTATACTTTTGGTTACTGACACTCACCTTATTGTACTCCGGGAAATACCAGAACGAAAAGGTGCAGCGCACGTAATTGTCAAGCGTCCGTTGACGAGTATTGTTAAGATTACTTCTAGAAAACGAAACTCGGATTTGATCACATTCAAATACGGTACAACGCAGTACAATGACATGGTCATCTCGGACATGGACAAATTTCTAATTCCTAACGCGACTGAGGCTACTAAATTGATCACACATCAAATCCTCAAACAATTGGAAACCACCAATTAATGTTTAAGAGTTTTGTAAACGATCGCGCACGCTGATCCAACACCTACAGATATGTACAGATTAAGATTCGATATATTTTAGAAGAGTTGTCATGGATAAGTGTGAGATTCGACAAATACTTCTTTTTATTTGTTTAACCGATTACAATGTTCTTACTTAAATGGTACTACGTATACAACGTGTCACATTAATATGTATTTAATAATGAAAGTCTGTAATTTGTAGATGAAGATTTTAACACGAGCGTGTCATATATAGAACTGATGAAGATGTCATATATAGAACGGTGTCATTAATAACAATACGCGGCCAAACATGATTTACAACTGGATTGTAAGGTTTTGGTGATTGTACTAAGTCTTTGTTTTCAAGAATTTCCACGTACTATTCCTCAAGCACTTTTTCGAATCTTCGAAAAACATACGATTTCCATAGGAAAGCATTTTTTGCATTTTTTATTGTAATAACGTCATAACGAACGTTCACGATTCTCTGAATTTAGTTATTACTTCACAAGTGGCTAAACGGTGGCCTTACTAGCAAAAAAGAATGGGAGAGGTAATGGACTCAGCAAATTATTCATCGACACGAGTATGTAGGAATGAATGTAATGTGCCATGAATAAGGATATTGTTGGTTCCTCTGTGCAAAGTGATTTGCGTGAAGCGAACCACTTGTCTCTAATGGATTTAAGAATGCCAAATGATTCAAGTAAACATTTTACAGCTTATATTAAAACATTCAGCGGTATACGGTAAATTCTCCCCAATTTTCCTTCGCTTGTAATAAAGGGGACAATTTGGGAAGGGGAGATATGATTATTCGATTATCACTTCGGCTATCAAATTTCTGACATTCATTTATAGAACTAAAGAAGAAAAGTACAGCTCGTGGTAATGTTTCTACCCGAATGAAAAGTATTTTTGGACAAGATAGACTTCTTTAGCATCAACATTAATTTTGTATAAAGTTTAATTGATAAACCCATCAGAGACATTTGTGATCAGCTTCTTGCGATTCAAATTGTACAAATACGGTTTGTAATGCAGCATCTGTATACATATACATAATATTAAATTAATAATTTATTAATTTGTTGAATCCAAAAAACTTTGAATTACACGCTGGTACGGCATTTGTCACACACATTGATGTATATTCTCTATACGTTATGATGAACTGATGATTGGTCCTAATCTAATACATATAATTCAAGGAATATTACACATAAATGGTTATAATTGCATTTTGTATAACCTAGTCTCGCAATACTTGTCTTTATATAATATTTACAAATGGTACAAAATGTACGGGAAGGATAATGGTATCATCACTTCGCAGGCATACCTATTACACTGCCTGATTATATTTTGAAGAATTTTTAAAGTTTACCATTTACCACTTTTCAAAATATCTGTACAATTCGTGAAACAGATTGTCTTTTACCAACATATACGTTCGGAGAATTATGTGGTACAATTCTCTTTGAATTAGTTAATAGAAGCATAGCACTATGTATTAAACAAATTTATCCCTTTGTAATTTGGGACAATACCGCCTGTAATAATTGTTAATTTTTGTATAAATTTCCAAAACAAAGTCTTACATAACTACAATTTCGTTATTATATTACAAATTGAATTATTTTTTAGATGCACTTACGGTGATTCTACGTTTCAGATCATGTAATAATAGTTAGATCTATATTTAGTAACTTATCAAAACCTTAAATCTTGTAGATACTACCAAAATTGTTAATACTTGTAATA